TGTGGAGGTGAGGTGAGTGAATGAGTGAGTGAGTGAGAGAATGTGTGTGGAGGTGAGGTGAGTGAATGAGTGAGAGAATGCGTGTGGAGGTGAGGGAGAGTAGTGTGTGGGTGAATAAGTGAGAGAATGGTACAGAAGAGAGAGATAGCAGATGTATGAAGAAATGTAACAGCAGACAGAGAGAGAGAAGTGTGTCTTCAAGAGAGGTGGAGAAAAGAGATGTTGCTGTATGTAAAGAGATGTGACTGTATAGAGAGACTGTCAAGAAAAAGATTATTCAAGATGGAGTAAAAGACAAAGTTGCCATCAGAAAGCATGTGTTTCCTTTTTTACCCTCAGATAGAAAAGTCTAGCCCTCAGATAGAGAAGAATTTTTTCTCAGTCCTGCTGCTCTGAAGGCATTCTTTCTGTTACCCTGGTGCAGACCTAGGAGCTGGCCTCCATAGGCTGAGGTAATGTAGCTAGGAATGATCTTGAACTTCTGATCCTCCTGTCTCTACCTCCTGAATACTAGCATTACAGAGGTGTGCCACCACACCTGGTGTATAGCGTTCTGGGATTCAAACCCAGGGCTTATTGCATGTTAGGCAAGCATTCTATCAACTGAGCTGCATCCTCAGCCCCAAGATGCTATCTTCTTTACACAGCCTCAATTATTATGGAATTGGAAGGAACAGCAATATCATCCAGTCCTTGCTCCTCACTCCAACTCTGACTCTCCTGGCATTTGTTAAGGAACTTAGCAAACTAAAACCCACCCCCCTAGAATCAACCAACTGAAAAGTCCTCTCAAAACAATATTCCAGAGGTTCTGATTTAGCAGGTAGGATGGAGTAAGGCTTGGTCTCTGTAATTTTACATGTTACCTTCAGCAATCTGTCCTTGCTTAGAAATTCCTGGTTAAGTCTAATTTTCTCTTCATACAAGTGAGCCTACAAGGTAAGGTCCAGAGGTTCCATGGAAGGCGGGCAGGAATGAGTGTATGTCTCCTAATTCCAATCCAATATCCTCCTGTGTCAGGACACAGTTCTTGGGTGGTGTCTAATCAAGCCTGTTCTAAGTGTGAAGTGGTTTGCAGTAACCATCTATGGATTCTGTCCCTTAGTACAGGACAGTAACCCAGGGACAGTGACTCTGTCTCTCTGTCTCTGGTATCTCCTGAGAGTTCAGTATAAGAAGGGCAGTAAAAAAGGCAACCTGACCCATGAGTCAACTTACCAATTTCAGCCTGCAACATCTCAGGGATCTTCACTCTGAGAGGCTATAAAACAAGAGTGGGGACAGAAGTAATGAGGTTGTAAGCACCAAGCAGACGGACAGTATGCAGGTACACGGGGCCTGATAATGTTATTTGCCCTCTTGTCTCCCCTCTTTCTCATCTCTCTTCAAATGTTGGACTTGAATTCTAGGCTAGGACTTTGGGAGTTTATAAGACAAGTTGATACTATGTTCTAAGGGTGACCTGGTGGTCTTTTTATTCTGAAGCATGGAGTGTGGAATGGCATGTTCCAAAACTGGACCACTGTTAAATTAGCTGCTAGATTCTCCTTCGCCTCGGAGTGGCTCCAAAACGATAACCTTTGTTATTTGATGGATTGCTGCTCCTTTCCTTTGCTAACAGTGGAAACTGGGTATGTGTCACCTAGTTCTGCACTTAGCAGAATACTCTGGCATGTACACTTAACTCTCTTGCCATGTGGATAGGTATTGATAGGGTTTGTAAATGATGGCAGGGAGTACTTGGCAGCTCTAATGCCCTTACTCGAGACACACTGAAGGCAGTAAATGTAAAACACCGAGGAAAACCAAATTTCCCAACCTCATTAGCCTTAGTAGCCAACTGTGACAAGATACAATCGTTTTGGAATTAGTTCAGTTGATCAGATTATAAAGTCAAGATAAGGAATGTCATCTGCAGGCAGATGCTCCAGGTGAGATCCTGACACTTCCTGGAGAACCCAGTTCAGATGCAGAGAGGCTCATTTTCTCCCCTCGACTCCTCTCCTTTAGGGAACGACAGCAAGTCTGGCTGGGTCTCTCCTTGCCTCACTGATCCAGATCACCTGATGTTCTTGGGCCTCTGTCTCTTCACCCAGGTAAGGAAAGGCAGACAAGGTTTGGAGAATGGTTAAACCTCTAACTCAGCGGTTCCCAACCATCCTAATGTTTCAACCCTTCAATACAATTCCTCAGGTTGTGCTGATCCCCAATGATATAATTATTTTTGTTGCTACTTCATAACTGTAGTTTTGCTACTGTTATGAATCATAATGTAAATATCTGGGTTTTCTGATGGCCTTAAATGACCCCTGTAAAAGGGTCATTTGACAATCCCTTTGGGTCATTTGAAGAAAGGTAGTGTACATTCTATATGTGGAACTAAAAAGACATACAGAGGAGATTAATCCTTTAAATTAAAATATTTTATTTTATGTGTTTTGGTGTTTTGTCTGTGTGTATGTCTGTGCAACATGTGGGTGGCCAGAATAGGTGTTACATCACCTGGAACTGTAGTTACAGATGTTTGTGAGCTACCATGTGGGTGTTGGGAACCAAACCTGGGTCCCCTGGAAGAGCAATATGTGCTCTTAGCCACTGAGCCATCTCCAGCCCTAGGAGAGATAGATCTTTGAGAGGCAGGAACAGAATCCAGGAGGAATCCTAATTTCTTAGAGAGTAAAGGTCTTTAAAAACCTGTCTCTAACTTTCTGGTGGTGATGACCCCCTATGAGAACATGCCTCTTGCAAAGGCTCTCCCTTAAGAGGAAACACAAGAAGCAGTGCCTGGTACAGAGCCCAGATTCCTACTTTATGGAAATCACCAGGGTCTTCAGCCATGCATAAACTGTAGTCTTGTATGTTGGCTGCTTCACTGTCCTGTCAGCCTACAGGAAGAAATGGAAAGCTGACAGAAGGATGCTCCTCCAGGAGGAAGCAGCACTGAATTCATAATGAGTGGGAATCATCCTAGTGAACACATTTTTGTTAAAAAAACAAAACAAAACAAAAAAGCCAACCTGCCTCTACTTTGCTTCAATATTTTTGTTTGGTTTTCCTCTGCTTGTTTTACTTAGTTTTACTCTGCTTGATGCAGAGTATGGAATTGTAATCTAACCTATGACAGCCTTACCGCATTTTTCTCTAGGAAAATAGTCCAGATGTCTTTCCCCAAACTTCGGGAATCTTTGGGATTTGTCTGTTGATAAACTTCTGAACACAAATAAAAAAGCTAGAACGACAGAGAAACTGGGTTAGAGCAGTGGATCTCCATCAGTGGTGACTTTACCTGGAGGATGTCCGGTAATGTCTCAAGACATTTTGAATTGCTGAATTTACTAGGGAATTGTTTCTATTGTCATCTAGGGATAGAGTCCAGTATGTGGCTAAGTATTCCCAAATTAAGAACTCCCACAACAAAGAATTCTCCAGTCTAAAATGTCAACAATGCTGAGGCTTGAAAAAGCAATTTCAGTTTCCTTCACATGAGCATATTTTAGGTTGATTACTTTTCTATTCTGTTTCCTCCCACACTTGACATTTTTAGTGTTGTCTTCACTTGTTTATGGATTGTTTCTGAAGGGCTTTTATTTTGTTTCTCTTGGTGATGTGCTTTGTTTTTTTCAGAATGCTTATGAGACATCAGCATTTGGGACTAAACAAACAGGTATTTAATGAATTCCCTTTGAGCAAATCAATGTTTATTCTGGACTCTAACTGTGGTATTTCCAGGAAAAAAAAAAAAAAAGGCACTGACTCATTCCTTGGTCTAGGAGTCTTACTTTGAAGAATACACCACCATCTTGTTTCTATACAGCTAGGAGGAATGAGAAAGTGTAAGGTGATGGCTCTGTGCCCATCTTGGACTTTATCCATCTTCTTGAATGCTTTTTTTTTTGAGATAGGGTATCATTGTGTACCCCTAGCCTGGAACTTAATTTGTAGACTAGGCTGGCCTTGAACTCAAGAGAACATCTTCCTTTCTTTCCTGAATGCTGAGATTAGAGGTAGGCACCAACGGCCCTACTGGCAATTCTTCATGCCATCACCTTAGATGGAAGAATCTTTAGTGCTTTGCCCCTGTTAAAATTTCTTTATAGCAACACTGTAAATCTGCAAGGGTGATTCTCTCAACTCCTTAATTTCATTTAAAAAAAAAACCTCTTGACTTCCTAAACTGATGGAGAATGACAGTGTTCCTGGCCTAGGTCTTTTTGATATTTCTCATGTATGGCTAGCTGCATGACACAATAAGTTTCATTTACTTTTCTGTTTTGTCTCTGTCCTGGAGATGCCTGACTTTGCCTATGGATCTGACATAAAAGCTAGAAACATAAGAGAGATCAGGCATAGTGGTCAGAGATTCTCTCTGTTGAGCACAAGCAGGCACTCAAACAAGAGTGACACTTGTAACTTACCAGTGGACCAGGGTCTGCCTGAGAGAAGATGTAACGTAGAAAAACTGCCAAATGAGCTGGATGTGACTTCAGTTTTTCAAGATCTTGGAAGATGATGTCGCTCTGGAAGGCAGAAAAGTTGAGAATGACTGGGAGGTACAGAGACAGGAGACAGCAAAGTTTATTCCCAAGCTCTCTACTTTCTGGGTTCTGTTAGCTAAGCCTTCTTCCCCATAGGGCCATTTCATAGCTGGTGCCAATCAAACTGCTTCCAGTCAAGGGCACTGTGGCTAAAGCCAGGGAGGAAGATACAAGGAGTAAACCAGAAAATTGTTACCTCATTGTTGAAATAACCTGGGTCATAATCTTCCTCTGGGCCAATAATCAGAGGCTTTGGGCTTTGATCTACACCCTGAAGGAGAGAGTTGAGATGTAGAGATGAGAAATTATAGAAGACATGGATTCAACTTCCTCAATGGTGTCTGTTTAGGAACCTAACTCTAAAAAGGCCATTCAGGTTTAAATAGCACCCCGAGGTTCAGCACAGACGTATCCATTTCTACTTGCAGAAAGCCAACTGCTTCTGGGTGGGGCAGGCACAGCAGACACAGAGCAGCCTCATCACATAACACAGGAAGATGGGAAATAGGAAAAATGTTCTATTTGCAAAGGATGAGGAATGAGTGTTCTTTAACAAAGGGCTGACTGCACCTAATGGACTATTGGGTTGGAGACATGTGTTTTCCTAAACAGACCAAATCACCACCGTTCTCCCTCAACACACTCTCCAAATCAATACAGCAACTACCATAGTGCTACTGACTAGTGTGGACAAGCCAGTATATGGATTAGTAACTGCTAGAGACACCAAGGCAGAAGATGTGCCTCTCCCTCAATGAGGAAGGATGGGGCCGATCTTCCTCAAACACTAACATGCACTATTTCCCTTGTCTGCCTAACAATCTATGGTAGATCCCTATCCCTGTTAAAACCCCAAATCTTCACCCTAGCTTTTTTCTTTTCTCAGTCTATGAATTTTAATAAAATATTAATTCTAACTGCCATAACTAATAATGACTCCAAGAGACTTCACACTACATGAACTTTCCATATGCTTAATAGATTTTTCTAAAGGTTCCTTGAGCTACCAAATGTTTTGTTTGTTTGTTTGAGACAGGGTCTCACTACATAGATCTGGTTATCCTGGAACTCACTATGTAGACCAGGCTAGCCTCAAACTCACAAGATCCTCTTGCCTCTGCCACCCAAATGCTGAGATTATCAATTTTTTTTTCCTCTAGTGACTACATTTCCCCCCATTATTAGTGATTCTCTAAGCAAGGATTTGCTTCTGGAACCTACCTATTTTACTTATTCACTTTCCCAAGGAGATCTCCCTACTGCTTTTCTTTATCTTCTGTTTTTCTGGACAGTTACCTACCTCTAACCCCAGAATGACTGAGAGACCCTAAAAGCATCTAATAGATTGAAAGAGGGAGGCCCTTGGATTCTCTCACACATTCAAAGCCACAGAGTTAGGATGACAAACTGTATTTGCTTTTCAGACACACCCCAGACCCTCCAATCTTGTAACACCTAGTATTTGAAGCCCATGCTTTCTAGATCCCCTAGAATCTCTGGCAAAAGTACCTAAAGACTAGATTTTAGCTTGTCTGGGGAGAACTTCTGAGAAATAAATTTATTTTAAAGAAATTTCTGTACAAGTATATACTGGATACTGAGCATCCTCCCCCACTCCATGCCTTCCCCTTTCTAGTGACTTTTCCTCCTATTGGCTCCCTTTGTGTCTGGGAACAGTCATGGCACAGACACAATACATGATTTTATATATCTATAAAAACCCAAAAACTAGCAGATGAGCAAAATGATATGCTATTTGTCTCTCTTAATTTGGCTTTATTCTTATGATTAGTTCTAGCTGCATTCATTTTTATGGCAAATGACAAGACTGTTTCATTATGGCTCAAAAATTCCACTGTGTATACACACCACATTCCCTTTATTCCTGTTTCTGAACACCAAGTGGCTGGCTCCTTAACTCTAACTTAGCCACTGTGAACTGTCTTGCTATAAATATGGACGTGCAAGTGTCTGTGATATGGAGTAGAACAGACGGCCATTCGTTACAAAGCAATTTTCTCTCAGATCAAACATTTCATCTTTCAGGAAGCTCCTAGGACTTACCAAATACACTAGGCTACTCTTTCTTCAAGCATATAAAAGCAGTAAGAACTGATGAGAAATACGGTCAGACCAACTGAGCTACCTGGAAGAGACACTCTCCAACTTGTCAAGTTGATTGTAAATTACATTCTAGGTGGGCTTTTAATGATGCATCTATCTCTGACTATTTCTGCACCTTTAACTAACTTTTCACCCATATGTCTGTAAGTAACACAGATAAAAACTCAAGTTTATCAAGTTGGACTTTGGTGGAATCCATACTTCAATCTGTCACCTGTTCCTTGTTTGGGATGATTAGATGTTTATTCAGGTTGCCCCAGGAATAGTGTGTCACACACAGTCACATGGAAGACCTATTTTTAGTTTTTGAGAAATCTTCATATTGACTTCAGTGTTTAGGACTAGTTTATACTACCACCAGCAATATATAAGCTACACCTTCACCAACCTCTGTTACTGTTTTCTTAATGATTGACATTCTGCATGGAATAGGATGGGTTTCAATACAGTGATTTTCCCTAATGGTTAGTGAAGTTGAAACTTTTTGTGTCTATTGACCACTTTTATTTTATATATCTGGAATTCACTGAGATCTGCCTGCCTTCTGTCTCCTGAGTGCCGGAATTAAAGGTGTGTGTCACCACCGCCCAGATGTATTCTGTATTTTGATAACTGTTCTTCATTTGATTTGCCTATTTATTGACTAGGTTTTTGATTTCTTGCTGTTTTTTTTTTTAAAGTTTCTTTTGGTTTTTTAGAAAAGTTTTTGTGCATTCTAGGTATTTTTTAAAATTAGATTTTATTTCTACTTATGTATGTATAACTCTAGTTCTAAGGGATTTGATGCTTTCTTCTAGCCTACGAGTATATAAGATATATACCCAGGCAAAACATTCACACACATAAATAAATAAAATCTTAAAAAGATCCACTGACCCCTGTCTCCCAACTGCTGGGATTAAAACTGTGCACCACCATGTCCAACTTACATTGTAAAATTATTTTACTGAAAAAAAAAATCAAACATGAATAGATTCTACTTCCTTACAGTAAACACTTACCAGGCTAGCCTTGAATTCATAGAGATCCTCCTGCCTCTGCCTCTCAAGTGCTGGGATTAAAGGTGTGTGGTACCACTACCCGACTATGAATACTGTTCTTGACCTTTACCATTGCCATAGTGATTCACCAAAAAGTGATAGCTCACAGTTTGGAAATTAACACCTCTGAACTTCCTTATGCCAATGTCCTCCAGTGTAAGAAATTTACCACTGGTTGATTTGGGTGATTTCAGGTAAAATAATTTGGTGAGGCTAGAATCATTTTAGGTGGTACCTAGACATGACACTAAATAGCAGTGAGTCAAAGTGTAAAAGAGTTAATTTCAGTTCCCATTCAATCCCTTTGTTAATCCACATAAAGTCTCAGCCTGCTGTTATTCTATCTTTATATCTTTACAAAGGGGAATTCTGCTTCAGACTTAATTACAAGCAAAAGAATCTAGCTAGAATGAAAATATGATAATATATATTTATATATAAATTTAAATAGATAAATTTTATGTGTCTTTATTAAATTATTTCAGATTAAATTTAAATAGATTAGTTTTATGTTTTTATTACATTTTAGATAAAATTTAAATAGATAAATTTTATGTGTTTTTAATAATTTCTTTTACATTTTTAAAATTTTTGTTTTATGTGTATGGTGTTTTGCCTGCATGCATGTCTACATATTCCTGCATGCAGTGACTGTGGAGGCCAGAAGAGGGTGGTGGATCTTCTAGAGCTAGAGTTATAGATGGTTGTTCTGGCTATAACTTGACAATAAGCTAGAGTCATCTGAAAGGAGGGAAAACCTCAACTGAGAGAATGCCTCTGTTAGAGCCAGCTGTAGGGCGTTTTCTTAATTAGTAATTGATGAGGGAGGTTCCAGGCCACTGTGGGGATGCTCTCCCTCTGCTGGTGGTCCTGGCTTCTATGAGAAAGCAGGCTAAGCAAGCCTAAGCAGCACCCTCCATGGCCTTTCCATCAGCTCCTGCCTCCAGGTTCCTGCCCCCTTGATTTCCTGTCCTGACTCCTTTTGATGAAGAACTGTGGTGTGTAAGTGTAAGCCAAATAAACCCTTTCCTCCCCCACTTGCTTTTGGTCATGGTGCTCCATCACAGCAATAGTCACCCTAACTAAGACAGTTGTGAGCTGTCATGTGGATGTTGAGAACCTAATTTGGGTCTTCTGGAAGAACAGCCAGTGCTCTTGACGCTGAACCATCTTTCCAGCCCTGAGTTCTGTGTATTTTTATGATTCATGATACAGTCACATAGTTTGGAAAATGAAATTATAAAAAGGGTAAATCAATAAAAAGTTTTTGAGCTTCTGTTCTGAGACTCTGTGGAGGCATCAGCTTCTCATGCATTAATCCAGAGATAGCTCATGAAGCAGGCATCCTTTTAACATACATGGCAGCTTTCTTTCTCCTGAATTCTGCATCTTTGTAGAGAAGGTTTTACCAAATAATTTCTAAGCACATATGCTGCCTTACTGAAGGCGGGGTTTAACTGAGTACACCAGACCCAAGATAAATGATAAATCGGTATTTATTAGGGAAGAACTTACACAGATAAGAGTAAATAGCTGCCACAGTCTTCCTGCTCCAGGAGATGCAGCATCAGCCCCTCCTCTACTTATAATGGGTCACGTCTGCACCTGGAACCATGCCCAAAGGGTGTGGCCACCACCACAAGTTCACTGGCAAGGCAAGATGCTACTACACCTTACTTACACTTCTGTTGCATTTACAATGTGAGATGTTGGTTTTAATGTGAAGCAATGACAAATATCCTTTAAAATGAATTTAAGTTTAACAAAGTAAGTTTAGCTTGGCATGGTGGCGAACACATGTCTTTAATACCAGTACCCCAAGGTCAAAGGCAGGCAAATTTCTGTGTGTTTAAGCCCAGCCTGGTCTACACAGTCAGCTCCAGACCAGCCAGTGCTACACAGTGAGACACTGTCTTAAGCAAACAAACAAAAGAAATAAAGAAGAGATAAGCTTGAAGAAAATAGATTATGAAGAAAATAATAATATGTGGGGGTTTTGGTGGGGGTGTGGGGGCATGGGAGGGAGAGGAGACTGAGATTGATATGTAAAATAAGATTGTTTTCTAATTTAAATAAAATTCATTAAAAAAGAAAGAAAATAACATTGCATCTGGAATGTGAATTTGGAAAAAAATCAGTGCAGTGGTGAATTTTACAGAATACTGTCTGGAGCCAGTGTCTTGTTAGCTTCTATCTGCACAGGCAATCCTACTCATGGCTACACAGCTCAGGTTCTCTGCAGGATTTTGCCTTGAGCCAATATCTATCTCCCTGAAATATTCCCTATTCCCTGGACCTAATCCCACCTTTGAGAGCGGGGCCTTTGAGTCACTTTTTGCACTCTTTGAGAAACCTGAGTTCGGGCTTGGAAGGTAGCTTGAAAGGAAAGATTCCAAGCATGTTGAACTTTTATTTGTTTTCTGTATTTAGGATTCCAATGATAAGGCTTATTATTTATTTAACACATGTCATTATGACATTTTCATACATTTACATCACTGTATCTCACTGCTATCCAACCCCTTGCCCTTAGTTTTGACTGAAGCAAAGTTTTGCTAAAGGAAGATGAATATTCTGAACAGACATTTTTTATACTATCCAGACATTAAAAGACCCACAAGCTGTCTTTTCCTTAACTTCTGTGTTCTGACAGACACATCTAATGATTCTTCACACAGAAACTGATCTTCTTGAATTTCTTACTACACCATGTTCATTCTTCTCTATTTGCTCTCTAGGTGCCTATCTCAAATTCTGGGTTGCCAGAGTAGGATTTAGTCTGATTTTCAAGATTACATACTGGTGATAAGCCTAGCCTACGTCCTAGTTGTGAAAGGAGAAAGACAAACTGGGGTGATTCCCATCTCTCACCTGGTCGTTGGGTGGGAGCACTGATGCATCAGAGCCCTGTCGCCTGTGGTGCTGGGCCACTCTGGCCAGGATTACAGGGGAGGTTTGAGGGCTGTCTAGTCCAGGATCTGACAATACTGAGTTCCGATTCATCAACGACTAAAGGAAGAGAATTCTGTGATAAGGAACCTCATTCAGACAACTCTCTGGCCTCAGCATGTTTTGTAATAATGACCACGCTGACACCCATAACATTCGTGACTATGCACTACTCTACTGACCTTCTAGCAGCTCTCTGAGGGAGACTCAATCCACTTCTTACACAGAGAACCAGGCCCCAGGGAGGTCATGAGACTCACCGATGGCCAAAGAGCTATGTAGTATATATTCAATCAGGAAGTCTCAGTCACAGTTCACACACTTCACTGCCAAGTATATCACCTCTGATGTATGCAAACTATCGGTTACTTAGGCCCATACCACATCCCACTACTTTCTGGTGATTTTCCCACATATCTGTTCTTTTATAGATATCCATCATCCTCTCACCAATAGTCAGTTACCAGCAGTCAGAAAAGGGTATTCCAAATGTTGCCTAAATTATATTTCTAGTATGTTTTTAACACTTATTTCCATGTTTAATGAGTCTTGCTAAATAGATATTTTACTGTTGTCATCATCCTTCCCCTCATTTTATCCTTTCTTATTTTTATATTCATAATCTCATGTGCCAACTGAGAGCATCTGGAAGAGAGATAACCTTTGAGGTTAAAAAAAAATCTGAAAATTTATGACTAAAATAGAAAAAGATGTGCAGCAAAGAAAGTAACTATCACACCTGACATGGTGGGGTTCGCTAACTTGCTCTCAAAGATGAGCTACAGTGATAACACTGCCTACCCTTTCACCCTGCACTTTACACAACAGAGCCAATCAACTGTGATAAAATACAAGCCAGATTGATGATCCAGCATGAGGATGCATGTCAAAGCTACTCAGAATGAGAACACTGTGACGATTTTAGATCCCTAGAGCTAGGGTAGAGGAGGTATCCAGATGATGGGCCGGGGCCTTCAGTGAGCAGCAAAGCCTTCTAGTGTCCAGGGGTGGGATGATGAATGCATACATTACAAATGAGCCTGTGCCTGCTGGCACTCACCTCACTGATGGAGGGAAAGCGCTCTGTTCCAGAGTCCAAGCCACTGTCTGCTTCCTGGGAATCCAGAGAGAGACGGCCTGAGAAGAAACCAGTTTACATAGTTTTAGAAACGATCTCAGGCCCAAGGGAAGAACAGCCTTTATTGCGGGCACTAGGCAGGAAGGGGAAGCTGCCATCTTCCCTTCTTTTGCTAGCTGTCCTTCGACTCTCTCATTTGATGACCTCCAGGTTCTCCTGGCACACTAGTCTTTTACTTTCCCCATATCCAGCTTTTGCCAACTTCTGCATCGGGGCACAGAACATGTCACCACCTAAAATAAGACTCTGTGTGTAGTCCTCTGTGTGTAGTCCTCTGACAGTCCTCAGATCATTCCTAAGCCTCTTTTGGTCACTACTCCTCTTCACAAGAATTTGTTAAAACTCCTAAATGCTACATGCTGTTAAGCAAGCTGCAGTCTGGATCTGCTACCCAGTAGTTCCTGTTTCTCACTTAGCCATCACTTATTTTCAAGCATCCAACTGCCCTGTGTATTGGTATCACTTTTTCCTCGTTATTCTAGAATCTGTTCCACTGGGAGAGACCAACATAGACGAAACCTCATATATACCAGAGGACAATGGGGATTTACCTTCAGATGTTCTCTGGCTGGTGTCACTATAGAGTGGAAGTATGTCCTAAAAGAGAAAAGACCAGATGGTGGGAAACTTCATTGAGCCTCTCCCATTCCTGTTCCTTCTTCCAGTCAGAACCATGTTTGCTTAACTGCCTGAGAAATGCCCAGCTTCAAGTGTGTAGTCTGAGAAGGTGGTGACCCCCAATGGTGGAAGGAGCTTTACCATTATTGTAAATATTAACAAGAATCTCCCTGCCCTTATCACCCTGGACTTCAAAGCATTTACCTTATTTGGGTGGGATATGGGAAAGGATTTTCTAACCATCAAGAATAAAATAAAAAATCCTAAGCCTGCACTGAGGAAAGATGTTAAACATCAATGTTGGGGCTGGAGAGATGGCTCAGCGGTTAAGAGCACTGGCTGCCCTTCCAAAGGACCTGGGTTCAATTCCCAGCAACCACATGGCAGCTCACCATTCTCTGTTAACTCTAGTCAGGGGACCCAACGCCCATGGCAAAACATAAATATAAATAAACAAATAAAAAAATTTGTTTAAAAAACATCGAGTCTATGGGGAGTACCAGTGTTGGCATGGAGTTCAGTGCCCTAGTCACTGTAGAACTGTGCACAAAGCACTTTCCTTAACTGCATTCAATGTTACAGCAATTCCAGGCAGAGGAAGTTATCCCTGTTACAAATAAGGAGACAGAAAGAAGTTCCGATGTTTACTAATCTTTCTGAGCCACATTCTAAATGAAAAAATAAAACAAAAACCAAACAAACAAAAATCCCAGGGCTAGAGCCCCAAGGTCCTGATTCTCAGCTCAGTTTCAGAATTCATGTTGCACAGATAGATACCAACAGTGGCAGCAGCCATATACACACATACATACAAACATGGTGCTAGTGGCATGCTTCAGTTCTGGCAATACCTTACTAGGTAGATTCTGTTGTGTCCTTCTATAAATAAGAAACAAAGAGAGGCTCTTAGTGGTTAAGTTACTTGGCCATGAGTCTGAAAGCTGAGGGGAACTAGACCTGGTAATCAAAACTAGATGGTCTATGTCCATATGATATGAAAGTTCCTTCAGAAAAGTAAATTTTTAAAGTTTATTTGCCTATGTTTTTACCAAATGCTGAACAGAACCGTTTAAAAAGAAAGCCAAATGCCTTAAACAAATTAAAATATTTTAAAGGTTAATTTATTTTTATTTTATGTGTTTGGGTATTTTGCATGGATGCATGTTTGTGTACCATGTGTGCAGTGCCCCTGAATGCCAGATGAGGAACTGGGACCTCTGGAAGAATAGCCAGTGTTCTTAACTGCTGAGCCATTTCTCCAGCCCCACCTTAAACCATTTCTATGGGTTTGGGAAACGACTGCTCTTGGATATCATAACTCCCTAAGATTAGTTCTTACTTACCCAAAGAATTGAGGCTTGATGGATATAAGCAAGACAGTAATAGTAAAGTCCCTGATGAGAAGAATAGATAAACAACCTCCTCCTGTTACATTCTCCACAAAGTGCATTCAGATCTTTCTCAACTGACTGGGATCCTTCACTGAGGCTGACTTGGAAAGCACTTATGTTTCTTTGAGGATTCTTAAAGAAAATGCTACTGGATGAATGCTGAGTAATGCCAGAGTAGGAGTACATATCTTGAGGAAACTATTCACAAGGGAAGAGTAATTAGCAGATTAAAGCAGACTAATTTATTTATATTTCTTCTTTTCAGTAGGAGGGCATGAAACAGGCATTGTCCCTCTATGGTATTACCAGTAGGTACCTGGATAGTGTTCACCCTCTTTGGTGTTAGTCCTGTCATGGCCCAAGAAGCTTTCTGCCCTGCTTTCCTCCTCCTACACTAGTTCCTCTGCATGGTGCTGTTTCTGGAGCAATGCCTACTACCACTCACTCACCACTAAGCCACCAGTCTCCTGCTGGATCTTCAGCTGTAACTGAGTGACTCGCCGCCGGGCACCTTCGATTTGCTCTTCTAGCAGGCTGGCGGGGTTCCGACTATACACCTCACAGATACGCTAGGGTGGGGTGAGGAGAAAGAGGAGGATGAGAAGAAAGAGGGGGGAAAGGCACAGGAGTGGTTAGTAGAGGATAGATGACTTAGCAGCAGGAACAGGCAGTTATCACAAAACAAAGAAGAGAAGAGATTTCTGTCTGCTAGCAGATGCTTGCTATTTCAGCATCATTTAGGATCAGAAAACAGGGGTGACTGATGAGAAACAAAATATAAGAAACAGCTAAAGGAAAAAACAAAAACAAAAACAAAAACATCAAACCAAAAAACCAAAAGGCCTTCCTTAGTCTGATCTATTTTTTAAGTGCTGGATGAGGTCCCACATCGTACATGAGATCTTCCTCAGCTTGCACTCAAGTGTGAAGTACTGAAGTGACTATCCAGATCACTACACAGAAAATGTTAGGGCAAATGTAACATAATGAAAATGTCAAATAAGGAGAGGAAAAGCTTAATTAGAGAAGCCAGAACCGTTGCTTCATTAGAAGCGTCTTAAGAGCAGGCACCATTCTACTTCTCCTAATGTATTTACAGCATGAGCAGAATGAGAGCAGAGGGCTGGGGAGGCTTGGCATTAGATCTTGACACATCTATGTTCTAGCTGTGTAGGATTGGGCAAGCTTGCATATATCTGTCAAGAATGGAGACGACAGTATCTGCATCACCAGATGACCTGAAGATCTGAACAAGACTGTGTAACATGCTCGCCAGAGTGGCTGTAGCAGTTATATGCTAGAATACATAGCAGCTATTAATGCTTTTGTACAAAAGGAATCAGCAGCAAAACTTACTAAAAGAAGATGTTAGGTTTACACAGGAACTGAATTCATCCAAAGCTTCCTGCTACTTGACAACCTTGTTAAAATTCCTTACACTTTAGATTTATCTTTTCCATGTCTATCAAACTCCAAACAATCCCTGTCTCAGAAGATAATATTATCTGAAAATAACTCTTTCAACATGACTCCATTTTAAAACACCTGTATCATCTCTTCTGACTCAGAATTCTTTACCACTCTGAACCATTGACTACTTTGAGTGTTTCTTAAGACAACTGTTCAGACACCTTTAAAATCTTTTTCAAGGTGGTCCTTTCCCTTTATCCTACCCTTTAAAGGCATCTAAGTTCCCTATACTAAAAGCAAACTCCCACAATAAAATTATTTCTATCAATCCAGATTGTTTTTTAAGCCACAGCCCATTTTTTTCTTCCTTTCCACATCATCCCAGCAGCTAGCCTTTGAAAGATTAAACAACAGCAAACAAGTGGCTATTAGAGATTGGTATTGATATTTCACAGACTCACACAAATCTTTAATCAATGTTTAGATTTCTCCTCTCTGATTTGGTGTGTTGGTTTCAGCCAGATCCCAACTTCAATGCTTGCACTGTTGCTGAGGACACCCTAATCTGCTTTCACCACAGTTGTTTCCCTGAGGATAGTCTACCTAAGTACCTCACAGGCACACTTAATCCAGACTGAAAGCTGACCTTCATTTCTCTCCTGTGACCTATTTGATTCCACCCATGGCACCTAGGCTCCCAACTCAGTGCCATATTTTATTCTTTTTTCCTCCTTACAAGATGGTAAGTTTCCCTAATGTGGCTTCTGAGACATCTCTTTCCAGTTCTAACTTCTAGTTCTTGTCAAATCTGTCATCTTCTCTACCACCAAGGTTTCTTTATATTAATTCAATTAACACACACTTAAACTTATTTAAAGTGTATGTATGTATGTGCAAGTGCCTGCAAAGGCCAGAAGAGGCATTTGATCCTTGGAAATGGAGTTATAGGCAGTTGTAAGTGGTGTAATGTGGGTACTGGGAAATGAACTTGGGTCCTCTGCAAGAACAGCAAGTACCTTTAAGTATGCTTAAAGGTAGAATCATCTTCTCCAGCACCAAAACCACACTTCTCTCAGGAAGATTGACTTGAAATCTTTGATCAATTCCCAGTCTTTAGGAAAAAACTCCAAGATCTTTAAGTGACTCAAATCACTTTCCAACCATTGTCCTGTACTGTTATTTTCAGTGTTTTGGTCACAGTGGACTGAAGTCCACCCAACTGTCACCTCCTGAAAGCTTTGACAGGTACTGCATAAATCACTCATGCTTTCAGCTTCCACGGTGCCCAAGCATTATTTTAAGGTTTGTCATTAAGATATAATTCATGAAATTTAAACTTAAAGTATGTAATATAGAGGTTTTTAGTATATTCACACAATTGTGCAGCCGTTCTCACTATCAAATTCCAGCACATTCCCATTACTTCAGTAAGAAATCTGGTACTTGTAAGCAGTCACTGTCACTCTTACACCCCTCCCCCCCAACTTTCCACCCTCTGGTAACCACGAGTCTACTTTGTCTTTGAGCATTTGCCTATTCTGAACATTTTATACAGATGGAACCACAACATTTGTGAACATTTGTCTTCTTTCACTGAGTATGCCTTCAGGGTTCTTCCATTTATAGTAAGTACTCTATTCTTTTTTATGGCTAAATATCCTACTGTGTTGTTGTAGATACATCAAATTTTTCTATCAGTTGATAGACTCTAGGTTGTTTCCTTTTGGCTATTACAGAGACAGTTGTCAAGAATGTCATGTACAAATTTTTCTGTGAATATGTATTTTCAATTCTTTTTGGCATTTATCTAGGAGTGGATTTACTGGGTTACACAGTATGTGTTACACAAGATGAACTGTCTAATGTTTCCCTGTGACTGTATTATTTTATATTCCCACCATCAGCAATGCAAACAAATTAGGATAGTGAACTTGTAGACAAAACATAAACAAGTATTTCTCAGGTTTGTCTACAACCCTTACCAGCATTCGACTTTCCATTATTTTGGCTATAAAAAATTCTAGTATCTTGTTATTTTGAGAAGTAGTTCCCCATCTTTTCACATGCTTATTGGCCATTTGTAGTTCTTTAATTTTTTTTTCATTTTTTAAAAGATCTTATTTATTATGTATACAATCTTCTGCCTGCATGCCAGCAGAGGGCACCAGATCCCATTCAAGGTGGTTGTGAGCCACCATGTGGTAGTGCTGGGAATTGAACTCAGGACCTCTGGAAGAGCAGTCAGTGCTCTTAACCATCTCTCCAGCCCCTTTAATTGTTATTTTTAGGGCTGTTTTTCACTACATAACTTAGGCTGGCCTCCAAATTGCAATCTTTCTGCCTCAGACTCCCAAGTGTTAGAATTATAGGCATATGCCACAATGCCTGACTTGTGTCTTCTTTAGAGAACTATACAAAATCTTTGTTAATTTTATTTCATATAAGAACAAAGCTTATGGGGCTGGAGAGGTCTCTGAAGTTAAGATCATTTGTTATTTTTCCAGAAGATCCAATACCCTCTTCTGGAGAGACACACACACACACACACACACACACACACACACACACACACACACACTCTTACTTTTAAATTCCCTATGGTGGGATATCTTGCTCAACCTTGATACAGAGGGGAGGAGCTTGGTCCTGCCTCAACTTGGTAGGCAAACTTTGTTGACTCCCCAAGGAAGGCCTTACCCTCAGTGAGGAGTGGATAGGGGTGGGAAGGGAAGAGGTAGGGGGTGGGGGGTTGGAAAAAGAGGAGAGAGGGGGAACTGGGATTGGTATGTAAAATGAAATAAATTTTTTAAATAAAAAAATAATAAAACCACTTGGAACAAAGCTTATACTAAATATCCAAAAATATCAAATAACATTGTGGGTTTTTTCTTTTCTTTTTTTTAAGGTTTGGTTGGTTGCTTATTTCTAGTGATGAGTAGGGATTGAATCCAGAGTCTAGGCAAGCATTCTAACCACTGAAAAATATCATAGCCCTTGACAAATTTTTAACTGTGTTGTCTTTTTAAAAATTATTTTTATTTTATTACTTTATATAGGGATTATGCCTGCATGTATGTCTGAGTACTACATGCATTCAGGGCCCACTGAGGTCAGAAGGGAGCAATGGATACCCTGGAACTGAAGTTAGAGACAGTTGTGAGCTGCCATATGGGTGCTGTGAGTTGAACCTGGATTCTCTGGAAGAGCAGCCAGTGACCTTAACAGCTGAGCCATCTCTCCAGCCCTGTTATTTGTCTTTTTATTGTTGAGGTGGAAGAGTTCTTTACACATTCTGGTAATAAGACCCTTAATAGATATATGATTGTGAAATATTTCTATTTTGTGAGCTGCCCTTTTATTTACTTTTTATATTATTCCTTTATACACAAACATTTTTTTTGCAGATTTTTTTTTATTTGAATTAGAAACAAGACTGTTTTACATGTCAATCCCAGTTCCCTCTCCCTCCCCTATACACAAACATTTTAATTTTGATGATATCCAGTTATCTTTTGGGGGGAGTATTTGTACTTTTAGTACCACAAAGAAACCAGTGGCTAATCCAAGGTTATGATGATTCATACTCATGTTTCTTTCTAAAAGTTTGATATTTTTCTTTCTTCATATCTAACATGATGTAAATGCTGTAGATACAGTACTGAGGAAATAATGACAAGAAAAAACATCTGTACATGTGCAGTTCAGATCAAATCCCTCTTTCTCCAGCTCTCTTGAGTTTTATAGCTTGTTTGTTGAGACTTTATTAATCCATTTTAATTAAATTTTGTTAATTATGTGAGATAAAGGTACAAACTAATTCTCTGTAGATATCCAGTTGATCTAGTACCATTTGTTGAAGAGACAAACACTACTGAATTGTCTTAATATCTTTGTTGAAATGAGCTGCTATAGATGTACAGATTAATTTCAGAGCTCTGAATGCTAGTCCACTGACCTATATGTTTAGCCTTATATTGTAACAGTGTCTTAGTAATCCAATGTGAATATACAAGTAACAATTTACAATGCAGTATATCTTCATTTACTTTATCGCTGAAACTCCTTAAGGGAAATACACATCTCTTACTAATCTCTCTAACCATTCTTACTCCTACCTCTAACAGAATTCTTAGCACACTGCAAGAATGCAATGCTTGTTAAGTGTGTTTTCACAAGTTTAGGTCTATGCCTTTGACCTAAACTGTTTCCTTACTAATAATGCCCCCAACTCCATTTTTTTTCTTTTAAATTTTGTTTATTTTTGAGTCAGGGTCTCTCTCTGGTTGGCCTGAAACTTCTAAGTAGACCAGGCAGGCCTCAAATTCAAAGAGGTCCATTTACTTCTCCCTCCCAAGTGTTGGAATTAAAGGTATGTGCTACCATGCCTGGATATCACCCCATCTCTTCTTGTCTACTAAAGTTCCACCCTTCCAAACACAATCAAAACACCATTTCTGCTGGGAAGCTTTTTTTTTTTTTTTTTTTTAACACAACACTGTAATTGTTCTTCCTTTTAATTTTATTACAAACTCTTTGTTCTTCCTATTTCCCTCATACTAGAATTTGAAATGTCCCCCATTAAATTTTAAGCACACTGAAGGCAGGAACCACTTCATTTCCATTTTTATATACCACAGAAATAAAAGCAATGTTTTATATATAGTAAGTATTTACAGAGTGACCTATTCCAGCCAAATTAATCTTCTTGGTCTCTGTGCCCAACATTTCCTAGACTGGCAATCTCTCTTCATCCTCTCCCTCATCAGTCTAGTCCAGTATTCATCTGTCCACCCCTACATCCCATGCTTACCTTTTTCTTTCTTGGAATCCTCTTAAGAACAATCCCAATGAACTTTAATTTTCCTCAGTTCTACTAGTTCCTCATTTTAGTCTGCTTTCATATTTATTTATATTTAGTCTATATACTCATCATCCTAATGTATTAACCATGGGATTCTGTTATCCTACTCACTTCACTGGTCTGCTTTAACCAATTCTGTTGGCCAAAGGCAACCCTTTAATGGTCTTGAGACAGTATTTTGTTTGCTGGGGATTGAACCTAGGGTCTCTAGTTCGTGCTCTACCACTGGGCTATATGCCCACAGGCCCTGATATTTTGCTGTAATTGGATATGGTCTACAAAATTCGTTGCAAAAAATAAAAAATTAAGTTGCACACACTGGCAGATTGCTGTGGTAGGGACTATTCACGAAGGTAGAGGCAAATCTATCTTTAACAGTGATCTCACCTGTAGCTCCTTCTCCTCCTGTCTCAGCATACTCCTGAGGATTTGAGTGGCATGCTTTTGAACTTCAGGGTCCTAGCAATGGAAATGTAAGAGTAGTGAGACCTAGGGACTAGTCAGTAGCTTAACTCTATTATATTTTATATTTTTTCATTCCTGAGTGAGAAAAGGTGTTGAGAGTAAAGCCTGAGTCATGAGTACATTCTTGAAAATGAAACACCTTGATGGACCACAACAAACATAAAATCTTACTTTTTACTTTACTACTGAACTTCTTTAGATATCCTGGCTGTAATCAGCTTTAATACTGAATTGCTTTCTAACTTCTCCAAAGAACTAGTTCAGTCTTCATTTCAACCTAGAAACCTGTTCTTCACACATATCTGCAGCTTGCCATCTTTCAAGTCTTGAGGGATCTTTTTCTACCTATTCTTGTTCTTCCTCACTCTTTCCTCTATTGATTGTTCTCCATATTTCACTCTTCCAGGAGCTCCTTTGCTCTGGGAAGCCAGTCTCTTTCTCTTGGATTTTCAAGCACACCCTCCCAACTTGCAACAATCTCTAAGGGATGCTTCTATCCATTCTTGGGGCCGAGGCAGGTCCCCTGTAAGAGTCTTCAGAGTGAGGATCACAGTGAGGAGGTCATCTGTAAAGCCTCATATGCATTCACAAAGGAGTAGGATACTAAGGTATGAACATCCTTTTATGTAGACTTCATTTGTGTTTAACATTTTGGAGGTATTCACCTGTCTCTTTGGCCTATCTCTGCTTACCACAAACCCATTCAATTTAAATTCCACTGAGGGAGATCTTCAAAGAGTTCCTAAACTCTAGGGCCTAGAGTGATCAGTAGGTGTCAGGAAAACTATTACCTGCAGAGGTTTGGGTCCTGTAATGTGTTGTGGAGGTGGCAAGGGTGGAGGAGGAGGTGGTGGTGGAATCATGGGGTTAACTCTGGGTATTCCTGCCAGAGATGGGGTCTGCTGGAGCCCAGAGACACCGATGGAGGAAGGAGATGAGCCCAGGAGGGTAAGTGCAACATAAGCACCAGCTAGAAGAAAAGAAAAAGAGGTTTGCTTGAATACCACAATTCTCAAGATAGTTACTTAAACCACAAAGAAAAGTATCTTTCTCCTTTCATTAAGCCTCACAATCCTATAGATTCAAATCTCATTTTTAAAATTCTAGCCATTTTCTAATTTCTGTCCTTCTGCTCTGCACCAACCAAGTTCCCAATTCTTCACACAGGAGATCTCCAACCAAAATTCCACCCAAAATTCTCTCTCCCTTTTTTCCCCCCGCCTCCATACAGGGTTTCTTTATATAGCTCTGGCTGTCCTGGAACTAGCGTTGTAGACCAGGATGGTCTCATACTCACAAAGATCCTCCTGCCTCTGTCTCCTGAGCACTGGGACTAAAGGTGTGTGCCATCACCGCCCAGCTCAAGGTAGTCTTTCAATGTATCCAAGAATGGCCTTAAACTCAAGATCTTCCTGCCTCAGTTTAGGTGCTGAAATTGTGTGGGTGCACTACTATGCCCAGCTTCTTCCTTAATCTCACTCAACTTTGAACCAATGTAAAGCCCAGCACACTGCCTGTCTGGTATACAACAGGCACTCATACTCTAGCCTCCCACATTCTTTATTTACTTCCTCAATATTGCTGCTTCTATTTGATTATCTGTATAGACTCACTTGTTAGATATTCCTGGCTAGAGTGTTTTTGCCCCTCTTCTTCATCTATAGGAAGCTGATAAGGAAGAATGTCAATGGAACAGAATGACATTTAAATGAAATGTGGTCTTAGGATATGGTCAGGAGTGGTGGCAATGATGGTGTGCTAAAAATGAAGCCATCTATTGGGAGACTAATAGTGTTGGTACTTGACATCATAATAGGGTTTTGCAGCTGTTTAAGTTGATCACTCATATTAAGACTAAAGATGTGATTTCAGCTGCCTCAATATCTACCTACAAATGAAGCTTCTCAGGTCAGTAAACCTACAAATTTGTCCTAGAATCCACCAAGTCTATTTTCTTTAGTTGTTATGCCCTAACCAACTCACATTTGATAAGCTTCACCACCTCCAGGTGTGAGCTATTGGTCACCATGGTGCCGTTCACCTGTTGGGGGACAAATAACATTGAGTAATAGTGGTGGAAACCTTTTTCCAAATCTAAAATGCTTTTCTTTAGGAAGCCATTTCCCAATGCTTTTTAGTTACCTCTGGCTACTTGTTTACTCAAATTCACATTGTCAGTTTGTTCCCAACTGGCTTCTAAGATCTCAGGGATAAGACCCATGTCTCCATCCATGGATTTGTGTGTATCTATGGGCTTCTTCCTCACTGGAGGAACAAAAATCTCTGCAGCTAGGATTCCTGTAGTCAGGACTCCTTTTTGCAAAGACAGACCTACATCCAAAAGATTCTCTCCTGTCAGCACTGTGTGGAGGTCAGACTAAGGTAGGAACCTAAGGGCCACAGCTGTTTCCTCTTAACCTATTTGTGAGGTAGGGATAAATAAAACCTAATTCAGAACGGTTCAAATTCAATGAGCTTGAAGAACCTAGAATATAGAATCCTGCTATCTTCATCCCTCTCCCTGTTATGGTACCACCCTGATTTAGCAGCTGCCAGAATTAGTGCTGAACTGAAGTACAAGATAAGCCACAGCACTAGGCAGCCCTTTAATCTGCTACCATTATAAGATGGAGGAGAGGTCAAGTTTACTCACTTTGATGATCCGGTCACCCTCTTTCACACCGGCTTTCATGGCTGCACCTCCTGGAGGGAGAAGAGCCAGTCAGCAGAGTCCCATAACCACTCCTAAAAGCCACCAGATCTACACCAAAGTCCGTCTTAGAACATCTACTCTGAAATTTTATATCAGAACTCCACATCCTGGGTGGACGTCCAACTTTGCTCCAGCAATATGATGACTTTTAATCTAGAGTGGAGTTCATAAAGTCACACCTGCTTCTCTACTCTTCATCTAGCTCTCACAACCAGCTAATATGGGAGACAAGTGGGACCAGGATCTGAGAAGAACATAGTTTTCCTTGATTTGAATGTTTTAAGGCCAGGCAGAGTTATTAGTTATTATCCCATGGGAAAGTTAGGTTTAATGTAGTAAATATAGGCAGTAAAGTAATATTAAGAACTGGAGAAATGGATTAAAACAATAGCTTTCAAACTGGTAGCTTGTAAGCTCATAAAGATATTCTCCAGGTTCTTCTACTAAAAACCTTTTAAGCCACTGATAGTTTCTTCATTTGAAACAGACCTTAAATTACTAGTTATTATAAGTAACCTGATGTTTATATATTCAGGCAAGATAGCTACTTCCGCTCTAATTTTAAGCTACTTGCCAGTAGTTTTCCACATATAGCACATTTAAAAAAGATTTATTATTTATTTATTGCGTGTGTGTGTGTGTGTGTGTGTGTGTGTGTGTGTGTGTGTGTGTGTATCACAATGTACTTTACCACACTATCTCTGTGATGGCTGATCTTGGCTGTTAACTACATCTGGAATCAACTAAAAACCAAGCTGCTGGGCACAACTAAAGGATTCTGCCCACTGGCTCATTACAGTGTAGACTTCCCCATGTATCCACAGGGAGCTAGTTCTAGAATAATTCACTCACCCTTCCCTTGGGGATACCCCCTTGAAACAACCTCCAAGACATGCAGCACTATTATACACAGGCACACACAGCCTTCTGAACTTCCATTGTTGACAAGAGGGTCACAGCACTCACCAGGGCGCACAGACTGCACCAGCACAATTCGGTCCCCACTAACTGTGAAGCCAAAGCCATGCTGGTCCTTTTGGATGATGACACAACGTTGAACAAGACCTGTGGGGGTAGAGGATAGGAATTTGGGCAGGCAGTCATACTGGAAGGTCAGTGTATCCAAGCCAGCCAATTTCTTTTTTATGTAGCCTTCCTAGACGAATCCAATTCCCCAGATTTAGTCTGACCACTTATGCTGCTGTAATATATGCCTTCCTCAGCGACTGGTAAAAACCTTAATCGACTTTGTATTCCATGAGAAGTGACCCTTTTCTAAGGTGCTGAAATGGCTGTCCCTTTAGGCCTGAATGAATGAGACTGACTGAAGAAGGGGAAGGGTTAAGCCCAGCAGTGCTCTTCAAGTCTAGCATTAAAGACAACTAGTCCTGTGGACTGACTAGAAATTTTACATTGTTAGACACAGTGAATACAATAAATGGGACACCAAAGCTTGTTGACTGATGTTACAGAGCTGGGAAACTCATGAAGATGACCCAGAGTTGTTTCCTTGACAAATCTAGGGAATAATAAATGTCAGGAGAAATCCTCTTATTCATACCAACATTCACGCATAGAATAAAAAGGGAGTGAGGGAGGAAGGAAAGGAGAATGGGGTGGTGGCTACCAACTAGCTTTGCTATGGATCTTCACCAGATGTTGTACATATGTGATAGCACTCAGTGCTGATAGGACCATAGGCTCTAGAGTTCAAAACTGGTTTCAAGCCTCAATTCTGACTCTAATAAGTGTAAGGTTGGGCAAGTTTCCCAACTTTTCCATGCTTCTGTTTCTTCCTTATCTGCAAAATAAGAATATAAAAACTGAGCCAGGCATTGGTGGAGCACGCCTTTAATCCCAGCACTCGGGAGGCAGAGGCAGGTGGATCTCTGTGAGTTCGAAGCCAGCCTGGTCTCCAGAGCGAGTGCCAGGACAGGCTCCAAAGCTACACAGAGAAACCCTGTCTCGAAAAAACAAAAAACAAAAAAAACAAAAAAAACCAAAAAAAAAACCAAAAAACAAAAAAAACCCACTTCCTAGGTTGGTATAAGGAGACAACTGATAGAAAACTCCTAACATAAAACCCAACACACATATTTCATGCTCAATATAAAGTTCAGGTGTTTTTCATGCGAGTGTACAGGATTTTTCTATGGGGCATACACCTGTGTGTATGTGCTGATATGCAACAGGTAGTTGTTACCTGTTGTTTCAGAGGTGTCAGAGGGCTGGCGGTGGTGGGAAGGGGACGTGCGTTCAGGTGTAGAGTCTCCCAGAGAAGACAGGCTACTTAACCTGGAGAAGGAGTAAAGAGAAAACACAGGTAAGCTGGGCAGGGAGGGACCAGTGGAAGAGGCACTGTCAAAGGGGCCCAGAATCTTGAACAATGAAAGCTAACCCACCCACCTGGTCATCCCAATAAGAGATTAATCATGTCTATGCTGCTGGCAATACCACCTATCTGGAACCCTGCTGGGCAGGGCAAGCATGGTCTCTTTAATACTCAGCAGGGTATGAAGAGAAATACCCTTTATAGAGAGAGTCAGACAACAAAGAGACAACAGCAGGAGGATTGTACAAACATACATGTGCTTGCTGGGTCTTACCAGGCTGCAAGGGGGCTGATGGAACAGAACGGAGCAGCAGAGAAAATGAATGCAAGAAAAACAAACAGCTAGTTAGTGTTAGGTGATGATCTGCAAAAGAGGAAGAGGCTGGAAGAACTTGGTGGGCCAGACACATACAGAGGCCTCCATGAGCACAGCAGAGCACTGAATGACTTCATCTCTTTGTCTCTGAAAGTCTCACCTCTCTAAGATGGCATCCAGACAGGTAAGCTGGTTAGCACATTAGTACTAACCTACTAGGGAAATAGTAACCTGAACAGGAGCATACCAATAGCCTGAGCCTCTGAAAAGTCCATTTATCTTCTGGATACCATGAAGAATAGAAGTCTGGTCTATTGGTGACCATATACTCCAACCTTACAATCAGACCATCCCCACAGCTAGCCTGTGGCATCCTGCTTAGAAATTAAGACCCCAAAGCCTCAAGTACCATACATCACCAACCAACAGATTTATTTCTTGATCTCTTCTTTAATTAGGATCAATACAGGAACAGAAAACAATCTTAGAATACTGCTTTGGCTTGGCTTCTCAGAATGAGCTCAAGTTCATAGTTCCACATTTAGTGTCTTCTGCCCTCAGGAAGGGGTGGTTCCCATCCTAGCTGTAGTTAGTGACCAAGTGGAAGCTTATGGACAGTATCACTGTGTATGATGAGAACACCAGAAATGACCTCATATCTATATAACAATATAGAACTTGTCCTTACAAAACTGTGTGTAAGGAATGACCTCTATGATGCTATTATGGGAGAAGAAGAGAATTAAAAGCAGTAGATAAGAGGGAAAAGATGATATGTTTGCATGTTTGTTATATATTCAGATACTTAGCATATCTTTGCAGAGTACAAAAGAAACAACATTGGTTGTCTCTGAGGTGGGAAAGTGGTTACCTGGGGAATAGGCACAGGACTGGAGATGTCTCATTATATTCTGAATTTTGTGAACATACTAACTATTCAAAAGAGCCAGATAAGGTGGCAGGTGACTGTAATCCTGGCCCTTGGGTGGCTGAGGAAGGAAGACTGCTGAGTTCAAGGCAGTCTGGGCTACATATAACGTTTTTCAGACTGGCCTGTGTTATACTGTGAGACCATAGTCTCAAAAACAAAATAATATTCCCTACTCACCAACCAACCAACCAACTGACCGACTGACCAACCACCCACCCACTACCACCACTACCCTATACAAATTTAAAAATACCAAAAAAAACCAAATTTAAAAATACCAAAATCTTTTCTTTCCCAGAGGCATCCCCCTTACCTGGACAGGTGAGACTGCTTTTTACTGGCTGATCTTTGGGTCAGAGAGAGGAAGACATCAAAGAAGAAAACGTGGGACCCAGGAGAGAGTGGTGCAGGATAGGAGGAAGAAAGAGAAAGAAAACAAAACAACATAAACCAGACAAGACACTGGAGATGGTTACCTCAAAAGAAAAACCCCAACAGAACTAAGGACCAAGCAGAGCTGGGAGTTGATACAATGGTGAGCTTATTATAATGCAAATCCACCAATTTGTCTATTTAAAATTCTTCAGTCTCATTCTGTACTCAGGAGTAAATACTAAATAGTTCATTAACCACAGCATCTAACAGGAAGTATGTAGGGGACACTATCGCCACACCTGTGAGGGTGTGGTCAGGGTGATGTAGGGAAGGTGTAAGAGTGAGGGGCGCTCACATGGGCTTCCCTTCTTCCTGCTGGCTGGCTAGGTCACTCTGTAAGTAAGGCTTTTTCCTTTTACCTGACTCCGCATTGGTAATTCCCACAATAGGAGGTATGTATGGCCTGATGTCTAGCTAGGTGCTTCTCCGAACTGTTCTACAGGGCCCAGTATCTTGCCTTTCTCTAACAGGGAATATTATTGAACCACATGGCTTCAGATACTGCCACGCAAGAGGAATACAAACAAGTAGATGAGAAAAACTTGCAGTTTTAGTCCAAACCCCAGGGACCAGCAGCCCCCTGTTAGAAAGGGCCTCTTGAAAAGGGCTTGTCAAGATTGTCTTTGGTTCCAATTACTCCTCTGCTTTTTCCAGTGTACCCATATCCTCTTCCCAATCCCAAGCTGGGTCTGAATCTACTCATATACTTCCAGAGCATGTCCATTTTTCCCTTGGTACACCCTGGGCCTCCTCTTACTTTGTTCTTCTTGACTCTGGAAGGAAACTGGTTTTCCATATCCATATTAAAACTAAAAAGATTTATTTGAACTTGGAAATACTTTTCTGTTTTTGAGAGGTGGGAATTGAGTCTATGATCTTACATAGTATGAAGTCTACTACTGAGTTTTGAGGAACTGTATTAAAAGGTTGTAGCACTAGGAAGGTTGAGATCCACCTATTGTCACTTTTGTGTTTTGCCTGTCTCAGCTCTCCTTTCCACCTCCCTTCCCTCTATTTTTTTAGTAAGTTTTATATTTATTTATTTTTTGGGGGATGCATGTGGATGTCAAAGGACAACCTGTGTTATATATGTGCATAAAAGTGCCTGTACCAGTACACCAGTACACACACACACACACACACACACACACACACACACGATCGTGCGCGGCAGGCAGGGCAGGGCCAGAGGGGGGCAGTAGGGTGGTATTGAGGCTGATATCAGGCATCTTTTGTTACTCTCCACCTTGTTTTAGAGCTAGAAACACTCATGGAAACTGGAACTTACCAATTTGGCAGGAGTGGTTAGCCAGCAAGTCCTCTGTACACCAGAAGTGGAATTAAAACTGCACTGGCCTAGCTGGGCAGTGGTGGCGAACACCTTTAATCCCAGCACTCAGGAGGCAGAGGCAAGAGGATCTCTGTGAGTTCCAGGACAGCCAAGGCTACATAGAGAAATCCTGTCTAGAAAAACCAAAGAAACAAAAAACCAAAAACATAAAACAAAACAATATCAACAACAACAAAAGAAACCAAAGCCCATGGCTTTTCCATGGGCTCTGGTGATTTTAACTCAGGTCTTTGTGCACGGTCACCTCCCATTTAAAAATTGTAGAGACATAGTGACATTTTACCTGTAACTACTTTAGTGTACACATACCAAGTACCTTGAGAGATTCTCTATATGAACCGTCATCAGCATGCCCAAGAGGCTAAATTTGGTAGAATATTACATAACATAGAGTAGTATTCAAACTTCCCCAACTGTCTTATCAATGTACTTTACATCTGTCCCTCAATCCAGGATCTAACCAAAGCTCTTATACATACATGTGTGTATGTATATGCATGTATATACACATACATGACACATTAATAAAATACACATATAAAAAATATACTCACTCCCTTATCTCTACCTACCGAGTCCTCTACCCTTAAAACAATGACATTATTTTTTTGTTTGTGAGGCATGTGTAGGCATGTATGAGTATGTTTGTATAAGACTGTGGAGGTCAGAGGTCAAAATAGGTACCGTCCTCAGTTATTCTCACCTTATTTTGAGATAGGGTTTCTTATTGAACCTGGAGTTCAACAATTCAGTTATGTCAGTGAACTCCAAATATCTCTGCTTTCCCAGAGCAGGGGTTACAGATTCTATCAGTTCCAGCTTTTCACATGGGTGTTGTGGATCTGAATTCAGGTCTTCACATTTGTATAGCAAGCACTTCACTAACTGAGCCATTTCCCCACCCCTACACAATAATTTGAAGAGTCCAATCCAGCTGTCTTGTTGAATGAATGACATACGTTTGGGAAATGTCTGCCATCTCCTCATGATTAAATATTTGTTTTCTTGGGACAGAATCTCACTCTGTATCCCAAACTGGCCTGGAACTCACTATGTAGTCCAGGTTAGACTCAAATTAGTTTTCCTCTTGCCTCAACCTGCCACAAGCATTGTTATTGTAGGGATGTGCCACCAGGCCCATCCAGGGCAAATATTTTGAAACACTGTAAATGATGTTGTATAGCTTGCCCTGTTGGTGATGTGAGTGTTGATTACCTGAGATTTCTCAACAGTAAAAATCTATTCTTCCATTTTAAATCTGCCCTGTTTGGAGAATTCTGTTTTCCAACAACCACTTACCCAAGTGTTTATATGTTACTATTACTTTAGAAAGATTTCTTTTATTAATGTGTTAGTGTTTTGTTTGTACTTCTGCCATGTGTATGAAGGTGACGTGGAAGCCAGAAGAGGGCATTAGATTCTCTGGAGCTTGAATAACAGGTGGTTGTGAACTGTCTGATGTAGGTGTTGGGAGCTTAACTCTTCCCAGCTGAGCCACCCCTCTGGCCTGCCTATCTACCACTGCTCCTTGTCTGAGACGCTTCATTACTCTCTTTTAAGCCGCTAAGAACTAAAACCCTTTGTTTTATTTTCCCCTAAAGTCATACATTACAGTTCATTATCCTTTGTCCCCGTGATACCTTCTGAATGCTAGCCCATGGCTCTACCACAGAGTTGCACCTAAAATCTCCTCCTACCACTAAAAAATGTTTAAAATATTGCCTTCTCTTCCTATAAGCAGTGTAGGGTGACTCGTGAAAATGGTTCACTTGACCTAAAAAACCTAAAAAAGCATACAAAAAAAAAAAAAGTCACATCTTCACAATTACTTTAAGAACACTGCCCAGAAGGCAAAATGTATGAACGAAGAAAAGCCACCAAGTATTGAAAAGATGTTTCTTTAAAGAACCATTTGGTTGATATGATGGCACAGGTGGGTGTGCCAGGCCCCAGCACTGGGGCTCAACACAGGGTTGGTGGCCCAAAAAGAGTACTGAATTATTTTTGTTGTTGTTTTGAGACAGGGTCTTTCTGTATAGCTCTAGCTGGCCTGGAACTCCCTATATAGACCAGTCTGGCCTTGAATCCAGAGAGATCTGCCTGCCTCTGCCTCCAAAGTGCTGGGATTGATTATAATGCTTTTTTGTTGCGTGTTCCCTGGCTCAGTGAGTAAAAGTGCTTGCCAAACAAGCCTGCCAAGCTAATGTCAATTCTGGAACCCACATGAAAAGTCAGATATAATAGTATACCCCAGCATTTCTACAAGAAGGAGGTGACTGAAGGAGAGTCAGCTAGCCTAGACTGTGACATTCGTGACAGACCCAACAAGGTGAGGACAGCCAACTGAAAGTTATCCTTTCACTTCCATGGATGTGCCTGTATTGGAGCCTGGGGCTGAAGAAGTGACCTGGTTAAGAGTGTGTACTGCTCGTCCAGAGGACCCGAGTCCAGGTCCCAGCATCCAAGCTGGGTGGCTCACAACTGCATGCAGCTCCACCTCCTGGGGATCCAATGCCTTCTCCTGGCCTCTGCAGGCACCTCAGGCACAAACCCATGGACACACATATATACACATAATTAAAGATAGTATCTTTTAAAAAATATGAACTGTAAGGCTGAACTTTAAACTCAGCATAAAAATAAATGCAAACAAAAGGGAAACTCAAAGTCCTAATTAGGAAATGGGAATGTCTACAAACCAGACCCTGTTTCCTTTTAACAAGTCCTCATCTGCCTTTGAGACTGTCTTTGCTCTCTAGCACAGAAAGACAATCCAGTTCACCTTGTTCCTTTATGTCAACTTGGAAGACAATTTTTTCTGAGGATCCCTGGCTCCTCTAAATAGGACAGGAAATGGACTTTGACACAAGCAGCTAGGTTCTACTAGACACTGCTCCCATGTCCTTCTTTCCAGGCCCTTTCAACACACTTCCTACATTTTACATTCACACTGACAACTTCCAAACAGAAATCAGAATGGCAGGATGCTTCCACATTTTCTCCATTCTATACTTGTTCTTTTTTCAGTGACAAGAACTGGATTTGGGACTCATGCATGCTAGGCAAGCAACCTACTGCTGAACTACAACCCCAGCCCTAATTCTAAACTTCATCCTCCTTTTTAGATAGCGAGAATCCCTCTCATGAACAGTGTTTTCTCTCTACCATAATACAAACAAGATGGTCTCTGGAATTACTACACAGGATCACTAACAATAATCCACTGAATCAGGTTTCCTCACTTCTTTTGGCCTCAGACTGAACCTTACCAGCAGTTGGTATTGTACATGAATCACTCCAGATTATTATTAACAAATAAAAATTTTTAATTCTTGATAATTATAAGATTCATTGGAAATGTTTCATTTTATATAATACAACTTTACATAAAGGTTTTGAATAGAGGTAAAAATGGAATGTAAAAGGTTTTGATTAATGAGTGTTCTTTCTTACTAATTAACTTTTTTTTTCTCCATGACAGGGTTTCTTTGTGTAATAGTTCTGATTTTCCTGGAACTCACTCTGTAGACCACAGACTGCCCTTGAATTCACAGAGATCC